ACAATGTAAAGGGGCATTCTTCCCAATGCCCCCACACTGTAAAGAGGGATTCTTCCCATTGACCCCCACTGTAAGGCGTAATTCTTCCTACTGACCCCACTGTAAGGGGGGCATTCTTCCCACTGACTCCCGTTATAAAGGGGTATTTTTCCTAATGACCCGCACTGTAAGAGGGGAATATCTTCCCTCCGACCTCCACTGTATAGGGGGACATTCTTCCCACTGACCACCATTGTAAGAAGGGCATTCTTCCCATTGACCCCCACTCTAAGGGGGCATTCTTCCCACTGACCCCCACTCTACGGTGGCATTCTTCCTTATTGACCCCCACTCTACGGGGGCATTCTTCCCACTGACCACCAATTATTTGGTTTTACAAGGGGTTCCCCTAGAACTGCATATTATTTTAATATGTTATAAAAAGGTTGAGTAAGGCCGCCGTATACAGTCAGATAATCATCTTCGTAGTGGAAATCCGGTGATATGTAGCCGGTCTTTGGGGACGTGTTTCTCTTCTGTAATTAGTGATGTTCCCATTAGGGGCCTCCGCTACACGGGACATTCTAATATTAACGAATTTTAGAGCTAACCCCTTGTTACTACTCACTTGGCAAGCATTGATTTCAGCTGTCAGCAAAGGGTGTTAAAGGAGGCGATTGAATTCTTACACGTGACTGATGCGTACTTCTGCCGGCGGTGAGATTACGTCGCCTTGCCTTCCGATAAAGAATTTTTGTCTCCTGACACTTCAATATCCTCTAATCGCATCATTCTTTAGATTCCTTCTGCCATTTACATCCTTCCGCAAAGCCTTTAAATAGTTAAATGTTCCAGCCGCGTTCCGTCGTTCCGCTCATTCCACCGGTGAGTGAAATCTGCAGCTGGTACCAGTAGGAGTCTCTGTGTCCCCGCATCTGCCTATCGCTGCCAGTGCTGAGAACTGGAAACATTTGATTGTAATTGTACAATATGTATCAGTCACCTTTGTGTGGACTGCATTGTACACCGCCACAGAGACGATGGCGCTACATAAATCATTATTATTGTAACCGCTAGAGTGTATCTAAAGCCAAAACTTCGGCAAATGTTCCCGTGAACTCAACCCGGAGCCCTCTGTGTCCTAGAAACCAAGGACACCATTATTATTATTATTATACAGGATTGATATATCGCCAACAGTTTGTGCAGCACTTTACAATATAAGGAAGACATTACAATCACAATACAATTCAAGACAAGATGGTAAGGAGGGCCCTGCCCCTGGGGGCTTACTATCTAAAAAGGAGAGGCCAGTAATACATGAGGAGGTAGCTGTGTGGGGATGAATTCTTTGAGAATGTGATGGTTGAGAGGTTAGGTCGAGGAGGGATAGGCTTTCCTGAAGAGATCAGTCTTTAGGGATAGCCTAAAGCCAGTCAGAGTGGGAGATAGATGGACAGGTTGGGGTAAAGAGTTC